AACGCTAGCCTGAGACGGGACCTGAAGCCTGAGATTGCCCGGTGCAACCTAGATACTGAGTCCTGAGAGGTAGTGGTAGGTAACTAACTCCCCCTCTCCTCCGCCCTACCCTCCTAGCCCCCCTCCGCTGCCTTTCCCACGTTCCTACCTCGCTGGCACCCGTTCCCCTCCGTTCCTACTCCTTCCGCCCCCGTGGATCTCCCTCCGCCGTCCCTGCCATCCTCTTCCGTTCACCGGTCCACCGTCGTTGGAGTCCTCGATGCCCGCCGACATCCCACCGAACCCCTCGACCATTGTCTACACCACCCGTTTCTACCGCCTCATCGACCTCATTCGTGACGAGCGTGTGGTAGAGCCCCGTCTGAACCCCGATAGCGACCTGGAGTGGCTCGCTTGGGCCCATGGCGCCCGATGGCTCATCGTACGTGCCTTCTCCCGCCTCGTCCTCTACGTCTCGCCAACCTTCCTCCGTTCCGCGCAGCGGATGCTCTTCGATTCTCGGTCTCGCGCGGTTGCCCACGGCGATGCGTCCCTTCCGCTCGTCCGCCGATACTCCGACGTGCAGGACCTGATCGAGTACCTCGACCAGGTGTTCCTGACTCTCCCGTCTCAGCACAGCTACGTCGGCGAACCCTATCCATTGATCGCCTGGGCTCCGAACCGTGTCACCGCTGAGCAGTCCGACGCCGAGCTCGGCCGCCCGCTCCTTCCGGTTCGATACTTGGAGCGTCCCATGCAGTTGTCTTCCTTCCGCGCCTCCTCCGACAGCCTCGATGGTCTACTCACCCGGTTCCAAGGCCTTCTTGACGAATGCCGCGCCGCTAACCGTGACGCCCGCTCCGAGGCCGTCCGCATCGCCCGGGGCCTGAGTTCGGTTGAGGTCAGCGTCCGCGACTTGCACGCTCGCTTGTCGGAAGGAGTGTACGTTCCGGACGGCTACTCCGGGATACCGCGTCGCCTGCGGTTCGCGCACCCTCGGGACGTCGAGGCGATGGAGGAGGGAGAGGTCGAGGATGAGGTGGCGGAGGAACCTGATGTCCATGTACAGTAGTTGTCTTCGTTCCGCGTATTTACTTGGTCGTCCTTCGCCGAGTCGTCCTTTCACTAATCGATGTCGCTTCGTTCCGCGTTGCCCGCCGCCTGAGAGAGTGTCGTTCCGAGCTCGTACCGTTGCTCCCATGTGGGCCTACCCCACAACGTGTTTGAAATGCGGTGTGGTGAGGGGTGAGCAAACATGCTATCGACAATCATACCTGTAGTGCGCGTGCTCAGCCGTGTTCACCCTTTCCTGCCTCACCTTATCCCTCGGAGAATACCCCGCGCTGCTCTTGCGGTGTCGCTGGCGGTATCTCTGGCCAGCCGGACACGGTGGGTATTGTTTTGCTCGTGTTTGAGATGTGAGCGAGCGGGCCTGTCATAGCTGGCTGGTGCTCACTTGCCTTGGTGGGCTGGTTGTTGTGCGGTGCAGTCTCGCACCGGTTCCTCGTGTGTCGCGTCGCCAGCTGCTCAGATCTCTTCGCGTTGAGCGTGAGAGCGGCGACGTCCATCTGTCATGTCAGCGAAGGTCGGGCGGTAGCAACACTGCGAGGCGCACGGTAACATTGCGCTGCCTCGTCATCAACTCGGTAGGGGGCTGTATGTGTCGAGTGACTGTCCGGGCGAAGACATAAGCAGAGGATCGGCAGGCAGAAGGGCAAGACCGTAGCGCGATGCTTGAGCTTGACTCGGCCAGGTCATTCAGCGCGAACGTACCTTCAAGTTCGAGTACTACGCCCGAGTCTTTTCTCCTAATCTCCTTGCTCTCATCTTTCGGTGCCTTCGCATCTCACGTCCTCATTTCCCCAGGTCCGTCGTTTTCTGCGCAGTCTTGTCGCTTGACACTGGCACGCGTGTCACGGAAGTCCTGAGTTGCACGCTCGGGTTCTGTGTCACCGAGGTCAGGATAAAAAGTGTAAAAAGTAGAGGAGAGGGCTGTCTGACAGAGAGTATCAAGAGCCAAAGAGGACGACGGAAGACAGGAGCGCGGTCTTGTTGCGGTCTTGTAGTCGTTTGAGCGCTGTCACATCACAATCCGTAGCTGGAGTCAGACAGTTGTCTGCCCTAAATCAGATCGCGATCAGTGTCCTCTGCAGCGCCACTCAACCGACTGCCACGTCAGACTCAACCAAGACTCACCCCTGCTGTCGCTGACTGTCGAGTTCACATCCAGCCCCTGTCCCGCCCGTTTACTCAACTGCCCACCTGCGTCCTCCACTGTACCTGCCAGAACAAGCTATGAGATAACAATCACGCCGACATGGACGACCTACGTAACCCTGTGGACAACCGTCGAGACCCGTTTGTCGGAGCACAAGCATAGTCTGGGTAGAGTGCCTTTGCTTGCCGGCCAATCTGCACATCCCACTCGAATACCCGCGTATCTGTCCGCGCATTTGGCTTGCCCGCCCTCTCGCACACACACACGCCCGTCCTCTCGTGTTCACATGCCCTCTTGTGCGTGCCCGCTCGTTCGTGCCGGCACATCCTCATCTTCTTTGTTAGCTCATTCACCTGCTTGCTCACACACTCACGCGCTGCTCGCAGGTATGTCTTTGCCACCCGCCGTATCACGGCAACGTCGTCTCACGCTCTGCTCGCAGCACAGCGCGTCTGGATCGGTGCCCACCGTTTTTTCCTTGCGCAGGACGACCCGCTCAGCCATGCTGCAGCGCAGCCATTTCGCCGCAGACAGCCCAGCTGGTGCCCCCCTTTCTCCGTTCAGTCGCGTGCTGGGCGGGCGGCGCCAGTGCTCGCGACGATTCCGAACATCGACGTCAACTCGCCCGGAGGAGTACGCGCCACCCGCTGCGTCCACCGCGATTCTCGTCCACTGTGTGTGCGTTGTCCTTCACGCGCTACAGCCCCGCTAAGCCACACAGTCAGCGGCGCCAGCGTTCTAAGCGCTTTCGCCCTCGCGGCCTGGGGCAGGATCGCGCCCTTCGTGTCCGCATCGCGCCGGAACTCCGGCTCGAGCTCGCCCTCCGTGGTGAGCATCCACCCGCCGATGAGCCAGCACCATGGGCCCATGAAGCCAAGCCAGAAGAGGACGCACGCGCTCGTCGCCGCCAGCCTCTCCGGAAGACACGACCGGCTGCGCCTCCGCGAAGACGCGCGGGGGATGTGGAATTCGTAGTTCCCGCTCCCGAAGGAGATGCCCCTCAGCCAGCGGTTGTGGATGTAGGCGTCGGAGCCGCTGGAGGAGACCGAGTGTGCGCCGCCACTCGTGCCGAGCTCAACCCCACGTCGTTGCTCCTCCCCGTTGAGTCCCATGCACCATCCCCTCAACGTGTCGCAGTGGCCCCGCCGCTGCCTGCGTACAACTGCGCCGAGCCCCTGCTTCTCCCCGCCGAGTCTGCCGCGTTCCTGGCCCAAGGCCCTGTCCCACCACCACTTCCGGTCGCGCCTCCGGAGGCCCGCCTCACTGGAGCACATCTCGTCCGGAGGGAGGCATAGGCAGAGATAGTCGGAGTGTACCGTACTACAGTAGCTGCTGCTTGATGTCATTAGTGACACATTACAATTGACTTGTTCCTGTGAATCGAATGTGATCACCTCGTACGATGGACCATTCAGTACATGAATCAGAAGAATGGTCAGATTAAGGACGGAATGTGATCAGAATGAAGCATAAGCTGCATAACACACTGGTCATGTTGCATAATGCCATATATTATCGAGCCATTCACAGACGAAAGAGAGGGGACTAGCTAACAAAACCTATTACTGAGAACTGAGATAACATATACAATTACCTAGATTTCTCCATAATACTGAGTCATTCATGGTCATTCTCGGGAGGGCTTTTTCCTGATGAGATGCATTGAAGGCAATATTTCCATGTATAAGGAATCTCATTTGTCATTCATATCAATACTCATTCACTTCAAAATCAATGATGCTGACTGTACCTGAGCAATATGAGATCAGTCTTCTCTTTCTCGTCCTTTGTCATGGCTCTGTCCACAAAGCTTTCGAGTGTGCTCATGCCCCTCTTCGCTGAGACCTTTGCCTTCTTGACAGGTCGTAGATTGGCAGAGGTGCTACTTTCTGTCTCATCATCCACAACGAGTGCCGTCGCCGACGAACTCCCGTCTCCCTCGACAACTACCTCCTCCGGGCTCTCCTTTGCGAGAAGCATCCATGCTTCCTTCCGAGCATCCACCGGCGCGTTGCGACAACGTCCGGATTTCGCGATATGTTGCAGGCATCGTTTCTCGCGGTGCTCGATGAGCTGGCTGTCATTGGGACAGTAGTTACACCTCATTTGGTAGCGCTTTGTTTTCGCATTCCTCTCGCCGACCCTCGTGAAGTGCTTCTCCACGAAAGGATCGAGAACACGCCCACCGCTGTGGGAACCGGAGTTGCTGCCAGGCGCCATATCGAGAATGAGAAGCAAGACGGAGCTACGCCGGGACCCGGGCTCATTGCCATATTGGGTGCTCATTTGTGTTCGGGGATGCTGACATAATCACTCATATTATCTACGCATTGTGACCATCCTCCGGGAGCAATAATGGCTCTCCTAGTTTACGAACATACCGTAGGCAACATAATAAAGTATCTGACCATTCGCCGCCATGCGCCAGCTCTACCCGTGGCAATCGCCAATCGCCACCCAATCGCCACCCCCTCCAAGCGCCAGGTGGCAAGCTGGCGCTCATTTGCCAACAACACTAACCACCGCTGACACCTGGAGGTTTTTTCATTTTTTTCCTCCCAGGTTTTAGCCATGTATCCTGCTGTGCTTAACGCGCGACGCCGGGGTGTTTTTGTTTGAACTGGTGGACAGTATTGTAATTATGCGATAGTGGGAGTCGGATTAGGTAGTTTGGGATTAGGTAGTAGGGGTATGTTGGGTTTGTAGGTAGTCATGTACCTAGTGAGCGCTGTCACACATCGAAAACGCCGAGGCGTCTAGATGTCGTGACTAAATGGAATACCCTCCTCCTCCTCCTCCAGCGCTCTGCACCCTCATCAACTCTGTGTCGCGTGTCATACTGGACCCAACGGAGCCCGACAATTCTCGGATACTGATGCAAGCATTCTGACGCCCCGACGATGAGTATAAAGCCGTATTGTAGCATATGTTGGGACAACCATCCCTTGAGCGCGTTCAGATTTCTGCCCTGCGGTAAGGGCCATCTATTTCGTTATGCTGAGCTTTCCTTTATGAGATTTGGCCTGCTTTTGACAGGGCACGGAATCTGCGTGGAAGTCCTCCGACACCTTCGGCCTGCCAGTGGCCCCCGCGTACGCGCTCGCTACGAATGTCCTATGTGCCGGGAACCCTTCCACAGTGGCATATCCATCTATATCGAGTCGAGGGATCCAGCTAGCGATGCGTCGCAAGCCGACGGTAACGGCGAAGCCCCCTCGCAGCGAAGCTATTCACCGGCAGTCTTGAAGCAGGCGACGTATGTGAAAGAGAAGTTCGACAAGATAGGCCCGGATAGCAAGCCAGAGTCGGTTGTGCGGTCCGCCAAGGAGCTCGGGAAGGTGGTGAACGGGATGGAAGAGGGTGACTGTGCAGTGAAGGTACGCTCGGCGTACCCGTTAGTGCTTGATGCTGATTCTGTGCAAGGCCCTCCTCTCGTCCATCGCACTATTGCTGGAGCGGCTTACGAGTGTTTTCGTGACGCTGGCCTTGCAAAAGAACAACGTATCTTCTTTACAATGCGCACTGCAGACTGCCCGGGAGGAAAACCGGCGTCTGCGCAGCGAAGTGCAGGAAGCCGAGAAGAATGCGGACGGCGTCATCAAGACCGCCCAAGCCGCCAGCGAACAGTTGGGCGACGCGATGAAGGAAATTGAGCAGCTGAAAGGAGAGCTTAGGGACCGAAAGAAGAAGCATGCCGCGCAGCTAACCGAGAAAGTGGACGAAACCGCGGGTCTCTACAAGACCCTTCACGCTCACAAGGCGAAGGTGCAGTCTGTGATGCTCGAACCCCCGAATATATTGACTCATAGTGTATGCAGGAAACCAAACAGGCGGAAAGGATTCGAGACCTGAAGAAGCAGCTCGCCACGGCGCAGGAGGTGGCTACTCATAACCGTAATCGCCTTGTACTCGAGACACCTGCGTCATCGCGTACAAATACACGACATATGGAGAGTCTACGTCGTCCTGTATCTTTCGAGGTTCGTCATCGACCAAGGCTGCTTCTCACCAACTCATCAGAGCAGCAGGGCAATGCTGATCTATGGGACGACGACACCGAGCCATTATTGTCCAGGCTTGACCTGGATGATGCAGACGAACCCCCACCACTGCCGCCCTTGCTCCCCACACCACCCGACGATGTCCCAGAACGTTTACACCCACTGCAGTCCAACTTTACAAGCGATTGGAACTTAGAGCTGCCAGTAAGCAAAACTAAACGCAAACGCACGCTGTCTGGGCTGGACCCCGAACCATCACGAAAGCCATTCCCGATCATGCTGGATAACAAGGGGCGTCCGAAAGGTCCTGTACAGTTGGGGTCACGACAGAGGGAGAAAATCGGCTGACAGGCTGTTGGCTCAAGTGCTGAGTGTTTGTCCAATACGAAACCAATATGAAACGATTGTATAGTGATTAGGACTAGGTGGATGTAATTTTAGTGCAATGTCCGGTGAATGCAGGGATAACATGCCGACTGGGTCCACAGATGAGCGTAGCATAGATAACGAGGATGAGGTATATAAGGACATGATATTTGGGCACTATGCATGAGGCAATATTTGAGTCCGAATGATCATGAAGGAACAGAGGACTCTGGTACTGGCAGGTCTGTTGCTTGTGGATCCGTCCGCATGAGCCTGCGCAGCCGCGCGAGCTCTTCCGCCAGGTTCCTAGTCAGACTAGTGAGCGAGTAATCACCCAGGCATGATTGTGCGACGTACCGTGCAGTCTGCCACGCCTGCTCGCTCTCTTTTCCTTGCCTGTCTACCTCAGAGCGCAGGTGCCCAATGTCCTCCCGGAAGCTCTCCTCCACCTCCTTCCGTATCCGCTCGTTCTCCTCCCGCAGCCGCTTGGCCTCACCCACCACAGAGTTGCCATCCTCTCGCTCGCGCCTCACCTCTTCTATGAGCCGCGTGTAGCGCTTGCCCATCTCCTCCGCCTCTTGCAGGATCTTCTCCTCTCGCTTACGCATCTCGTTCCGTAGACCATCCGTGTCCGTCTGGAAAGACGACACGAGACCCTTGATCGAATCGCGAAGCACAACATACTCGCGTTCTGCCTTCTGCGAGCGTGCCGTCGCTTCTGTGAGGGCCGTCTCCATCTCGCGCAGGGATTTCTTTGACGTTGACGTCTCAGACTTAACCTGCGTTTTTACAGCGATCACTTCGGCCTCTGCCTTGCGCGCGCGCTCGAGAACCTACCAAGGGGTCGGCTGAATGTTCGACATGTTGTGAGGCTCCGACGCACCTCTTGTAGCAGACGCTCTTTGCGAGCCACCACGTTGTTCAGCCCCTCGTTCTCCAGCCGGAGACGCTCCCGCACCTCCTTCAGGTCCTCCGTTTGTCGTGTCAGCTGGCTGACTTGACGCTGGCTCACGCGGAGCTGAGCCTTCGTGTTTTCTAGTGCCGTCTTCGCGTTCATGACACCGGCCTGGAGGTCTGCGAGCACCTTGGTGGTGTTGCCGGGTGCAAATGACGACCTGCGGCTGGGTGAGATTGTTGGTCCGTGAGGGGTCGAAGACGCCCCGTGATTTGGTGACAGTGGCGAGGAGCTGAGATGCGAGGAGTCTTGCTGTCCTTCCTCGGCGAGGGCCCGTGCGTTACCTGCACCGCGTTAGATAGTTTTCATCACACTGGGGCTCTTCACTGACCTACAGATGAGACCGGTATTCCTGTGCAATAATCAACACACGCCCCGGCACCATATAACTGAACGAAACGTACGACTGAGCGTCCGCGTCGGACTCTGCTGGCGCGTCCAAGAAGAAGTCGGTATGCCCTCCCGGATGCCATTCTCCTCGCCAAACGATCGACTCCTCTCCTCTCTCCGTGGCAATGGCAAGCTCGATTCAGGCCCTGCGAGACCATGTAACACCTCGAAGCTGTTGCGTTTCTGTACTCGGGGAGACATGTAGGTGCTTCCGGACGCAAATGTCTGATCAAAGTCGGTCGGTGAATGTGGAGGCGAGTTCATGATTCCTGGGGGTAGTGGACGAGGCCCGCGAAGAATAGTGTTTTCGAGGCTCTGTAACTGCGCTTGCTGGTGTCGGATGGTATGTTTGAGCGTAGACATCTGATTGCGGATGGCAACTGGCAACACTGTTAGTTGCCCCGCGTTATGACGACCGTGCCGGCGTACCACGCCTGCATACCTGGGTTATCCGGCAGAGATACCGAAGGACTCGCAGATCGGCCGTTGGAGCTACGCGATGATGGTCTGGAACTTGGACGAAGAGGAGACGTCAGATAGGACATAGATGTCTAGCTGGTATCGGCGGTTCGAGGACGGCTCTTGTAACGAATTGGAGGTGATGCAGTGGCCACAGAGGTGATGATATGTTATAAACGAGACCTAGATCGAGCATTCATATACGCGTATATTAAGTACCGAGAGCGAGTTGTAAAGGACAGGACGACGAAGTCACGAACGCAGTAGGTGCGCGTGGTGGCAAGCTCTCGGCCTACAGGCGCGCGCTACCCGCTAACGCGCCATCCTTTTCCCACACCTTCAGCTTGTCCGTAACTCGTTCAGCATAAGTACGCTCAAGCTGGTGGGTGAGCCGGAACAGTGAGCTCATTGCAGTACATTCAGGTGCGTGCTTCGATCGTTTGCAACATGTGGAAGTTGATGGTACTAAATGATCCAACTACTAACTACAGTACCTATCATCACTGGCCCGGGCGCACTACTACGATTCGATTAATATTGCCACCAGGTTGACTACATCAGGTACGTCTTGCAAACAGTCATGTTAGGAACGCTGATCTTCTGACTGTTGAGTTACTGATATTCAGCTTTGCCACGGTACGACCAGACGCAATTTCAAACAAGATGGCCGACGCCCTAGAGTCCGATTCATGCTCGGGCACGGTCGCGATAGCCAGTCGGAGCGCGCCACAAAAGTTCCAAGCTCCCTACGACCGAGTAGACGGCGATGTGATCCTTCGCTCTTGCGACGATGTCTCATACCGGGTTCATCGTATCATCTTGACGATGGCATCCCCCGTGTTTGCAGACATGTTCAGCCTACCGCAGTCCTCCGACATCGTGACGCCCTCAGAGACTGATCAGCACACTGTCTCGCCGCCGATCGTGGACTTGACTGAGGATGGCAAAACGATACGCGCTATACTGGACGCCTGCTACCCATTCAAGGATCCCGACCTGAACGATCTCGACGCTGTTCGAACCGCACTGGAGGCGGCCGCGAAATATGAAGTGGCCAAAGCCATTCAGTTCGGCGAGCGCAGGTTACAGGCCTTCGTAGAAAAAGAGCCGCTGCGCGTCTTTGCGATCGCCTGTAAAATGGACTTCGAGGACATGGCTAAAGCTGCCGCTCATCAAGTACATGCTCGATCGATTTTCAAGGCGGGACTGGTCTATGTCAAGGAACTGGACGAAGTATCCGCAGGTTGCTATCATAGGCTATTGCAACACTACAGGCGAAGAGGCAACTGGAAAGGGCTCAAATTTTGTATGACCAGTAAACTCAGTGGAAAAGCGGTCAAAAAACGTGCAAAAGGTCAAGCGAAACAAACGCCACTGCCACCAGCATCTGACGCTCCTCCGCCATTCCACTCCCCCCATGCCGACGCAGTCATTATCACATCAGACAACGTTCATTTCCATCTGCAGAGACAGTTCATTTCTACGGTTGCCCCTGGCCTTGCCGATAGATTTCCCGTTGCGACGGCACTCAAAGCTGTTCAGTGCGTTGACGTAGCCGGAGACTCGGATGCGTATCTGAGCCGTAACAGAGAGCGAGCGGAACAGCATTCCTCTCTTGCCGTCGAGGAAGATAGCACGGTCGTTGGCGCTTTGCTGCAACTTTGCAGCCCTCTAGACGTTCCCGATTTACCCGGGGAAGACATTGACTTCCTCACTCGTTTGGTGGATGCTGCACGGAAGTACCGAATAGAAAGGGTCATATGGCTATTGAAAATCCTTTGGCCACGGTATCTCCCACATGAGCCATTCCGGGCGTACGTTCTTGCTTCTTGCTACGGGTGGACGATGCAAGCCAAGGACGCCGCACGCGTTCTCCTGGGTGAGACTTTCGAGGCAATCGAAACATCATACTCACCTGCGTTGGAAATCATATCGACCCAACCTTACTTTCGTCTCCTCGCCTATCATGCCAACTGCAGCGCAGCTATTTCCGACGCCGGCACTGCGATGACGACCTGGCTCTCGGACGACGAAGTCATCAAGAACATCTCGAGCTCATGCAGGTCTTGTTCGACATACTATACCAATGATAAGACCGCTCGATGGATTGTTCCAGCGATCTCTAAAGCCGTGGAACTCCTGCTTCAACGTCCGTCTCCGCGAATGCTCACGGAGGGTATCCGTCTCGCCGAAATCATTTCCTCGATCCAGGAAAAGAAATGCAGTTCTTGTTCTCCGTCGCCCCTCATCTATATCTCATTCTGTGATTCTGTTGCTTCCAAAGCACAACAATTGATTGACAACGTAAGAAATTCGCTACATCCAAATGGCCTTCCAGTGCACTGACCGCGACGGATGCTCATTATTCAGGTCGATTTCGCAAGTTTGTAGTGCCGATATCAGGGGCCGTAAATATGACCAATGCACCACAGTGTACTGCAGCTCATAGACATCGTTGGATCACAACTTTCAACGATGTCATTTATGTTCGGTATAGTATTGCATCGTCAAGGGCCTTCAAGGAGGGGGAGGAGCCGTACGTTGGTGTGATTATTGAGTATCAATTAGAACGAAAGAAACGAAGTGGCATAGATGGTGACTAGAACTGTATGGTACTGCATGAACTCGAGCAACGGACGGACAGTAAGCACTGGAATCATCGACGATAGTTGCCAAATGCGACACGGTGGCTGATGGCCACAAAATGTGACTGGCGTGACCCAGCATCGACAGTGACTACTATCGGTACCTTGCTCAGTATTCAGACTACAGCCGTCCCCTCGAGCTCCAGGTCGCTGAGCGAGACTTGTTCTAGTGTCACGCCAACAACGACCACGTACGTACCATCTCAACGCACCGGCTACAGAGAGTTGAACGTTGATAAACAAGTTTTGACGGTTCTAGAGTCTAGCTGAATTTTCGAGTTCACATACATCGCAGGTTGTGCCGAGTATCAACAGTCCCTCCGCCGCTCAGTATGGCTGAAGGAACAGACGCAGGCTTGACTCCAGTGAAACTACAGTCGCCGTACGACCGAGAAGACGGGGATGTCATCCTCCGGTCTTCCGACGGGGTGTCCTACAAGGCCCACCGTGTCATCCTGACCATTGCCTCTCCAGTTTTCGCAGATATGTTCAGCCTTCCACAGCCCACAGCCTCGCATCAAGCCGCTCCCGCGCCAGTTGTGGACTTGGTGGAGAGTAGCAGGACATTGCGCGCCCTGCTAGATGCATGTTATCCCATTGCGGACCCAGATCTGAGTGATCTCGATGTCGTTCATCAGGCACTCGATGCTGCGATGAAGTATGAGATGGCCAAACCTGCTGGGCTCATCAAGCGTGCGTTACAAGACTTCGTGGCAAGTGAACCGCTGCGTGTCTTTGCGATCGCCTGCAGGCTTCACCTCGAAGAAGTAGCAAAGGCCGCCGCCGCTCAGGCATTTTCACTCGGCATCTTCGTTCTATGCTACCCTTACACCCCCGAGTTGGACCAGATCCCCGCTGCATGCTATCGCAAGCTGTTGCACTACTGCAGGCAGCGAATGGACTGGCAGCAACTCGTGTTCTGCGCGCCAGAGCCAGTAGACTCAGCCAAGGAACGAGATGGACCCCAAGCTTCATGCTCAGATTTTTCGAATGCCCAATTGCCATTCGATTCCCCCGCTTGCGATGCAGAGATCATAACATCGGATAAGGTCCGTTTCTTCGTGCAGAAGAGCTTTGTTTCGATGGCATCTCCTGGTCTCGCTGAGATGCTCGTAGTCGCTGCATCGGCGGTACTTAGTGTCTCACCTAAAGACACGAATCCGCACTCAGTCGCTGCATCGACTGGAGAGCATGTCTCCATCTCCATTGAAGAAGACAGCGGTATCCTCGACGTCCTCCTACGGCTGTATCACCCAACTTGCGCTCCTGGCCCGCTATTGCAAGAACTGGCCTTCGTCATTGGCCTCATGGACGCGGCACGGAAATACAAGATGGGCGAGAAGGCCTCATGGCTCGTGAAACTGCACTGGACGCAATACGTATCTCTAGATCCATTGGGAGCTTACCTTCTCGCGTGTTCTCATGGCTGGACAACGCAAGCCAAGGACGCCGCACAATCACTCTTGGGTGGAACGATTCAGGAGATCGAGGTTTCGTACTCACCTTCCATGGAGGACATGTCGACTCAACATTACCACCGTCTCCTCACCTATCATGCTAGATGCAGTACAGCTATTTTTTCTGCTGGCTCAGCGACGACAACCTGGCTAGACGTCAAAGCTCGAAAAATGATGTTATGCCGGCATTCGGTGTACTACGATATGGATAACGTCGCGGGATGGGTTGCTCCTGCGATCACTAGAGCTGTGGTAATTCTGCTTCCACGTCCATCTCCGCGAACAATCAAAGAGGCCATCGCTTCCGCCGTACTCGTCACTCTTATACAAGAAACCAAATGTGGTTCTTGTTCCTTTCCGTCCGCCTACGCCACATTTGGCGACTCCATTGCTCGCAAAGTCCAACAATTGATAGACGCGGTACGAGGTTCGCTATATCAGTTTGGGACTGTGCTGACGGTCTATTCATAATTCGGGTGAACTTTGATGAATTGTAACCGTCGATGTCAGACCTTGAATACTGCACCGGCGCTGGCCGTGGGGCAGCGCCTTGCCGTGCAGGTGTAGTTGATGAGTATTGACTGGAGCAACTGGTAGAAGTCATGCATGAAATATTACTTGGACTAGCCAGTTCATCAGATATTTTCGATTAGGGATGCATGTGTCAAGAATATCGATTGCAGAATGGTTACTGGTACATACTTAAGCCCGTTGCGCACTCAACGTGTTCAACTCCCACTGTTCATCTCTAGAAGCGCCTCGATGCTCTTCCCAAGATCCCCTTCGTTCGCCTCCAGAACCCAGTCCATGATCTCTGGATCCGTCGCCGGGAAGATCTGCTTCAGCGTCTCCCGCGCTGCGACGGCCGCGCGCTCGTGCGCGGCGTCGATCTCGTCCTGCAAGCCAGCCAGGTCCAAGCTCGGCGTGGGTGTCCGCGAGACGTGCGATGACTGTGGTCGCAGGTCCGCCGAACCCGGCCGCGAGTGGATGGCGGAGGCGCTCCGCGGAGGTGCCATCTGCGGCGACATCGGGGCTGACCCGCGCGGTCGTGTTGGTGTGTCGATACCTGAGGGCGAACCCAGCGAGTATGATCCGGGAGACTGGCCTGTCGAGAGCGGAGATGGCACTCTTCGTACGCGCTGCTTGTAGGGCGTTTGCAAGGGCGTCGAATACCCGCCGACTTGCTGACCATCGTCCCCTGCGCCGAAGGGCGTCTGCGGGACCCCGAACCCAGGTTGCTGGTCTTGCTCCTGGTGCTGATACTGCCTCTGGTCACGTGTCGAGTCGGGGTTGAAGGCAGGGAGGGACGAGAAGGACTCCTCGGCGTTGTCGAGTACTTCGTTGAAGATGCGGCTGATGGCGTTCAGCGGCTTAGAGAGCGTGTCTCCGGTCTTCTGCAGTAGACGTCGCGCATCTTCGCTCAATGCCTGCGCAGGCGTAGGGAGCGCGAGGGGCTGCGCGGATTCCTCGCCCAAGTGAGGGGATGGTCGGGTTGGTGTCGAGGCTCTTGAGATGCCAGATGATGGAGTAGATGACTCGGGTGTCGCGGTTCCGCTGGCTGGTAGTGACTGGATAGACATTTCGACGTTCCTAGCGATCCACGTTAGCTCAGTGGGCAAAATCCCATCAGCTGCATACCTCTCAAACTCCTCCTGTGTGATGTTGGATAACGATGTATGATCCATTGTTTCGATGAATGAAACTGCACCCATCTGGACAACGTCAATCGATTGAGCACCTTGGGATCGAGGTGAGCGGAACTTACGAGACTAGAGAGGTAATACCCTGCTTCACTTTGCAGCTTCGCAGGATTCCGGAAGCGATTGATGAACCTGTGTATCGTCAGTCTAAAGCCGAGGTATATGGTTATTCGCACTTCTCACTCCACATTAGACATGAGATTAGGCGGGTTCGCCTTCAGAACGACATAGATTAATAGAGGCACGAAAGTATCTGCGCCCTCTTCCTTGTGAAGGTGTCTGAGCAAACCTGTATCAATCACGAAGGCATGTCAGTCAGAGGTCGCGGATCAATGAGAGGGAACCGGACCGAAGATGACCTTGCAGCAGTTCAATATACAGATGAGTTTGTCCCGGGGCGCTTTGTAGTGATTGACTTTGAGCAGTTCTGAGTGAGGAAGATCAGAGAGATTTAGGTCAACGACCGCATGTGAAGAATGAGCTAACCAACCTTGCTGGGCGAACATCAAGAATCCTTCGCTGCCCTCGCCCTCAGGGACGTCTAGATGATTGGGTTCAATCCATTTGAACAACGCTATTCGTTGTGACAGTACGCGGTCGCGCTCGAGATCGTCCACGGTCACTGGCCGTGGTGGAGTCATCCGGACTACCGCAGGCGTGAAGGTGCTGAAAATATGTTTGGATGCGTGAGTATGTAATCTACGCAAAAAATGACGTACAAGTCGTAGAGTCGATTCATGACAAGCTTCTCCATGCCTTCCATCGCGTTATCAAACTCTGCGTCCGTGGCGTTCTTCCATACGTCCGTGTCTCGCATACGTTCCGCGATGAACTGCATCACATAGAAGATGTCGTTTTAAATACTACAACAGGGAGAAGACGATAGAGATCACTTACACCCAGGAAGTCGTTGATCAGTTTCACTTGATCAGTCACCGTGAACGTCCTCTTCGCAAAGTTGCTCAGGAAGCTACGGGATCACAACCGTGGCCGATCGGGTAACACACGCACGTAACATCCTATATAATCAACAACTGTACACACGAAAGTAATGGCACTGACATACGACCGCAAGTACTTCGCCACTGGCTCCGCGCCCTTCAGCTTCATCTGGTCCAGAAACTTTTGGAAGTCAAACGGTGGGCTGGCCCTCTCGGCTGCCTTCCCTCTGTCCCGCTCAGGATCGCGGACTCCTGGCGTGCTCCGGCCGCTGCCTCCCGAAACCTCCGCAGCACTCGAGTTCTCTGGGTCGACCATAAATGTGCGTGTTGGCGGTGCTGATTGCTGTTGAGCGAAGGACGAGAGTGTCGCTGGAGAGGGAACGGCGGTGGCGGTGTCGAGAGACTGTGGGCGCTGGCTGCGTCCGAGTGGGATGGAGAAGGTGCGCGCGAAAGCCGCGAGCGTAGGGAAGGCGGCTGCGGCTGCGGACGGTGCGTCCGATGTTGAGGGGTCTTGAGGGTCAGACGAGGCGCCCTCAGCGGCTTGTTCTGAGCCAACTGCAGCA